CCTTTTACTTTTATTAGAAATCCTTGAAGTCCAGAAGTCCATGCACTTCTGTATCCTGATCCTGAGGACTGGAGTGAGTGGGTTTTCTGTTTTTCTTTTAGTGACAGGATTCCTAACCTGTCATTCAACCCAAAACAAAGAAGTTGATCATTCTTATCTTTTGCCATTATTTCCTATTTTCCTCCAAGGAATGTGATATTTCAGGTACTTGAATTTGTTTTAGCACAGGCAACGCTGTGTAACATCTTTGTCAGTGACACAGCCAGTAAAATTGGGTGCACCCTCGACACATTTGCTGATGACACCAAGCTGTGTGGTGCCGTCGACACGCAAGAGGGAAGGGATGCATCCAGAGGGACCTGGGCAGGCTCATGAGGTTCAACAGGGCCAAGTGCAAGGTCCTGCACCGGGGCCAGGGCAATCCCAAGCACAACCACAGGCTGGATGGATAATGGATTGGAAGCAGCCCTGAGGAGAAGGACCTGGGGGCGTTTGTTGATGAGAAGCTTGACATTAACTGGCAATGTGCACTTACAGCCCAGAAAGCCCGTCCTATCCTGGACTGCATCAAAAGCAGTGCGGGGCCCCAGCACAAGAAGGACACAGACCTGTTAGACTATAAGGACTAATAGGACAAGTCCAGAGGAGGGCCACAGAGACAATCAAAGGGCTGAAGCACGTCTCCTACAAAGAGGGGCAGAGCAACCTGGGGTTGTTCAGCCCAGACAGAAAGCTCCAGAGAGACCTTTTGCCAGCCTTCCAGTACCTAACACAACTAGCCATACAAAAATCTCATACAGCTCCACACGTTAATTGAATAGGTTTTAAAAGACAACAAGTATTTTGCACCAAGAACCACTTTTTGCCTTGCAGACATGGTGTTAGCTCTTTCCATCTGCTGCCTCACGATCAGCCATCACAATTTCCTTACTCGATAATTCGATTGCTTTTGTGTATGGCCTCATGGAAGGCCCCTCTTCAGTGAGGGTTTGCCTAATGGAAGAAAACATCCTCTCAGTTGCTGAAACTAGCTCAATCCTGCGCTGTCACACAAATTCCTCCTCCACACAGGGCCAACATCCAGGTTATTTCAGCATGTTTTATGCCTTGCTACCTCCTGCCTCAACAACAGGGCCAACAGCACAGATGTAAGGAGAGCTGCCCTGCCCTCCCGTCACCTGCACCTCCCAACAAAGCTAATTAAGAGCTGGTATTCCCTTACTCACTGTAGCTTCCCTCACATTCCACTTGAGGCAAGAAAGTCCAGAAAAGCTTCAGCATCTGGGGTATGGAATACGTAATTACGCACCCCTGTAACACGGCCCTTTCCAGGGGATTTCCAACCAGTCCTCTGGACACTGTTGACTCCTGGGGACCCCAGATCCTCTCAACTTTCCACACCTTTCCTTCTCAACACAAACCTGCATACCACTCTCAAGAAAGTACTTAAAAGCCTGCAGTTAAGGCCCAAAAGGCCTACGTGCATCTTTCTCCAAACTAGCTAAGCATTCTGAAAGCAGAGTGAGGCAATACAGAAGATGTGTGACAGCACACCCAGAATGTCTTTATGCCACTCCCCAAACTCCTGACATACCTTTTCAGAGGCTCAACTCAAAGACGGAGAAGCTCCATCAGGAAGAAAAGTAATTGGTTATATGCAACTAGGAATACAAGGACAGTGGCTATAGCATGCTTGCAAGCCTTGAAAACTCCTCCTACTAACACTCTGCTCACTGAGCACATGCTTGTGACCATTTTTTCCACAAGATGGAATCTAGGGACAGAGAGCTGTTCCTAAACAGCAGCTGCCGAAGCCAGGATGAGATAGCTTAGTGGCAGAAAAGACTTGGAGAAGTCACTGGGTCACTGCCTTCTGCATTACATACTTTACCTGCCCATGATCTGGGGGAAGGACACACAGATGGACAGTTAATAGACACACTGACAACAACAGACAATTTACACAAAGTCCAGGCTTTCAATAAAGATGGAACAGAGGAAAAGCTCACTAAAGTTCTAGTTCAAAGTAAGACTTCAATAATTATGCTTTTAAATAACAATTAAAATTTATAACAGCTAAAATAAAGCATACACATTTTGATACAGCAGTTTTCTATTATTTATAAAACTTTTTCCTATATCCTCTGTTGATAAGTAAGGTCTACAAAAAAACAGCAACAATTTTCTACTCCATGGGCAGCCTTATATTGACAGAACTCAATTAATTTGAGATCAGGTACCTCATGATTGATGACAGTCCAGCCACAGGACGAATCACTGTCACTGGAATTTTCAGACATTTTCAAAGCACACTGCAAAGAAACGTAGATTCTTTTAACATGCAAGGTATGTAATTTCAGTGCTCACTTAACAAATAAGAAAAAAAAGAAGAACCAAAGTCATGTCATCACACAACATTACACATTAAGTCACACGTTGTTATTTTGAAATTGAGGAAAAAGAATAAAAAATATGATGTAGACCAAAAATATATTATTCTGCACATATCCCTATTATCATTTATGCTTGAAGCAAACGCAACTTCTCTTGCTACGTACCTATTTCAGCCAGCCAAAAAGCTCTTAAGACTAGCTAAAACACATGGTAAACTAACCAGTAAATCAATAATTAAGTTTAAAATTTGCTTGAAGCATCATTGCTTAAAGACATGTTTCAGTAGGTGAAGTCATTTTTGAATTGTTACAGGCGTAGGATCTATAATTTACTCAAGAAAAACAGCTTTTCTTGGATGAGGTACATATTTAGGATCTTTTGAAACTGGTTTTCTTCAACTTCTGGGCAAAATAATGCTTCTGTTAACTCTTTTCAAGTACTCCTAAACATTTTACTTTCTACGACACTACTGCATGACTTTACTAATTATTTTCAGGACAACTTTCTGGCAGCAGCTCTCTGCCTGTTTATTCTCCTGGATGAGGAATACAGAGTACCCATTATTGTTACACGCTTAGATTACTTTTCAAAGTTCTTTAAAAGATTTCAAAAAGAAATGTAATGCACTTCTTGTTCTTTAAAATACTTTTTCAAAGTTAAGCTGTTAAATAAAATTGATTACAGTTATATCATTGGGGGAAAAAAAAACTTCTTAAAAACAGTACAGGCAGCTTATTGCTTCTGGGTTACATAATGCATCCAGAGTAATGAAATCACAAAGCAGATCCTGGTTCAATAAGGCTTCTGTATTCCAGAGAATTCTGACAACTTGATCCATCTGCCTTATTTCTCACACATAAAAACTTCTGGTAAGACCACAAAGCAAACATATCAGTTAACAACCAACGGAGTTATCAGACTTCCAGAGAAACTGAATTTCCATTCTGAAGCCCTAATTTGAATACAGTTGTCATTGTCCCTTTCCCTTCCCTCATCCGTACTTCTCCTAGAATATCAGCTAGGCGATGTCAGGCTTTACTTATTTATTTATTAAAACCATACCAGCTCCTTTCATAGACAAAAAAAAATACACGTATCTGTTGACATAACTGCGTTTAAAATCTGAAAAGGGCACATTTGGAAGAGCAGAGTCAGTGCTGGACATAGGCATGTCTGTCTTCCTCTAGCCAACTCAGCACTTCACCCTGGGCCCTGGCGAAATCCACCCAAATGCCATCATGAGCTCCCTCTCCATCTAGATCAGACCGGCAGGTTACAGAGCACTGCATAAAATCAGCTCCTCTGAACACACAGCTGCAGCCTCAGGTTCCCATGTAGCCATTCAGCACCTGTCTGTCCCCCTAAACCACAGCTTCAGGACATAGCCACGTGCTCTCTGTATAATCCAAGAATATTCAAAACAAACACTGGGACAAGCAGCCAAATAATCATTACTTTGCAATGCTTGCTGCCCTCAGTAAATGCCCTTGAGTTACTTGCTGTGTTCAACCAAAATGCTGTACTAATGTTGCACGGTTAACTGCATACAGGTGATCAGTCTCCAACAAGTTTTAAAAGCAAGAAAAGAATGGAATAAAAAAAATAACAACTTCAAACTCATGGAGTTGATCGGTATGGCTACAGTATTTATCAGAATGATGACAGACAACACGATGCAAGACTGAAAGGCAGCTCTAGGGTCGCTATATTCCTACAAGCATAAAGCAAAGCATTTCATTGCTTATAGTTATTTACATCCAAAAGATCAAAACAGGCTAAAAAGCTCGAACAGAAGAATAATTAGGCACACTGCTCCTAAAATTTAATCGACATCTGAACAGCTTAGTTCTGTAAGAGATGAATAAAACCTTGTAGTCACCGCTAAACCTGAGCTCAGACGCTGTGTTTGTGCAAAGGGCCTGGCAGCTGCCCTGCGCCCCGCGGCTGGTCCTGCTCCCCAGAACCTCCCAGCCTGCGATCTGCCACCAAACGACAACGAGGCACTAACAGCCAGGAGGCGTTTCTCCTCCAAGCCCGCAGGCGCTGAGCACTCTTAGCTCTACCCCCCTGGAATCAGGCATTAAAAACAAACGAGGCAGCAGCTCCGCGCAGCACACACACAGACAGCGCCCGCAGTCACCGCCTGACAAAACAACTCCCCCACAACCCCCCCCCCCCCCCCCAGGCACCGCGTCCTGTTCACCCCCGCACCTGCGGGGCCAGCCCCAGCCCCAGCCCAGCCCCAGCCGAGCCCGGGGCTGCGCCGAGGGACGGCCCTGAGGCAGCCGAGGGCCCTCGGAGCTCGCTGCGGCCCCGCCGCCTACCTGAGCGCGGCCCTCCCGGGCCGGCCGCACCGCCGGTGACGCCGCCACAAAACAACAACGACCCGCCCGGGCCGGCGCCTGCGCGCGGCGGCGGCGCCCCGGGGCACGCCGGGAAGCGTAGTCCGCGCCCCGCCGAGGCCCCGCCGCCCGGCCGCCCCCCGAACTACAGCACCCGAAGCGCCCCGCGGCCGGCCGCCGGCCCCGCCCCCAGCCGGCGCCCCCCGGGCTGCCGTTGCTATGGCAACGCGGCCGCGCCGCCGAGCTCGGGGCCGAGGCCGCGGAGCCCCCGGCGGGCGGTGCGGGGAGGGCCGGGGACGGGGCCGAAGGAGCGGGCTGGCAACGATCAGAGGGGCGGGCGTGGGGCCGTGCCCCCAGGGAAGGCGGCGTGGGGAGGGGGGGAGGGCGCTGCTGCAGCCCCCAGCCTGCCGTACGGTACCGACGGGAAACCCCAAACCCAGAGCATCCGCTGAGCTGGCCCGGGTCCGTGTGGCAGCTGATGGGCAAAGGTAATAAAAATAGCTGCTGTTGCTCAAGATTGTCACCGACACAGAAAGTGATGCAAATGCAGGCGGTGTTACTGCGGCAGCCCCGTTATCGCTAAATAAGGTCACGCTCCAGCAGCTCCTGGCCCTGGGCTGTGCTGTGTTTCAGGGCATGCCTTGAGCAACATCGGCTCTGCCCACAGACATGTAACAAACCTGAAATGCTGTGCCCTGTTACTTGAGAGGCTGAGCTGAATCTATTTCTTCTGCAGGGAAAGATGACAACTTCTGCTGAGAAGCTGCCCTTGGGTCCCAACACTGGGAAACAGCAATCTTCTCGTCTGCCTGTCTGCGCAAACCCTGGCAATCCTGTGTTCTCCTGCATGCTGGACCCCAGCACGCTGCTGACCAGTAGCTCTTCGAGAAAGCCTCAGGTTTTACTGTTTAAAACAACTTCAAGTGAATACGGTGCTATACCGCCTACTTCACAGATGTTGCCTTGTACTTACCATCCAGCAGATCAAACGTTTACAAAACACTTACTCACCTGTGGGTCATCTCAAGATGGTTATTTGAATACTGCCATTGACAGAAGTCGGGTATACGACTACCCCAATTTGCAGCATACTCTGTAAAAACGGCTCTCAATTTTCTCCGACCTAGCCTAGACACCGAGCTTTAAGAAAAGAAATCTGTCTGTTAGTGACAGTTATTCCCAGAATGACTGAAATGTTTGATATGTCTTGGTTTTGCTGAGTTGAACAAGATGCATCAAAAAGGATGTAGCACGTTTGCTGATATACTTCTCTGAATCAGACCTAAACCTGTAAAAATAAAGCTTTTGAAACTGGGATCACAAATGTGTTACTCAAGTGTGTAAAAACAGTTAAGTGCAAGAGTCATTTCACTTGAAGGTTTATGTTTTAATTAAAAGTATTTTCTGCTTTTAAAACTTAAGGTCAGTCTCCACATTCCTGCACCTCAGGACACTAATATCAACATAACAAATATGACTTAGATACGGTGTATGTATCACCAGCTCAGGTGTTGAAATCATCAAGTTTAACATCCATTTGCTCCCACTGTAATTAAATGAGACAAGGTGGCATTACTCATACCACCAAAGACACCTGCTTCCCTAACTTTCCTCTAGAGAGGGCACTGTGTCTATTTCACAGCAGTAGAAAACGTGCCTGTCTACCTCAGAAAGAGCCTTTAGTAACTGTAACAAATCACTGCAATACAAATCTTATAAAGATGTATACAAATTGTTCTAACAGACTCCAAAACCAAAACAGAGAATTAGGGACTTGCAATTTGTAGTCATTCAGGTTGGATCCCAGGAAGCCGCTATTAGAAAAATGAAGAATATTAAAAAGGACTTTGCATCCCTGGGGAGGATGTTGAGGGAATCAGGGTGCAGGTAGTGTTCTCCTCTGTCCTCCCTCTGGGTGACTGGGATGCAGGTAGAAGGAACAGAACAGGACAGGTAAATGACTGGCTGAGGTGGTGTTGTCTGGACCAGGGATTTGGGTATTTTGATCTTGGGCCATCCTTTGAGAGGCCAGGTATGTGGGCTACGGACAGACACCAACTGAGCAAGTGGGGCGCAAGTGTGTTGGGGAGCAAGCTCTCTGAGATGATTACCAGGGCTTTAAACTAGGTTCAGTGGGGGAAGGGAGGGGAGCTAAAGGTGACAGAGAAAGGCTGGGGGAAGTCGTCACTGCTGTCACTGTTGAAGACAGGGAAAATCTTCTGAGCTCTCCCATAGGATTGTCTGAGGGCTCCTCAGAGAAGGTAGCGTTCCCGATCCCCCATCCAGTATCTTCTTCTTGCATCCCCCCAGGGGTAACTGCACCTGCTGCTTCCCTAAAGTGCCTGTACACCAATGCACGGAGCATGGGAAATAAACAGGATGAGCTCGAGATCTGTGTTCAGTCACAAGGCCACGATCTTATTGCGATCACTGAGACGTGGTGGGACAGCTCACATGACAGGAACACTGTCAGGGAGGGCTATGTCCTCTTTAGGAAAGACAGGCTGGGGAAGCGAGGGGGTGGGTTTGTTGTGAGGGAGCAATTAGAGTGTATCCAGCTCCAGCTGGGGGAGGGTGAAGGACAAGTGGAGAGCTTGTGGGTAAGAATTAAGGGGTGGGCTGGTATGGGGGACACGGTGGTGGGGGTCTACTACAGGTCTCCAGATCAGGAGGAGGAAGTCCATGAGGCCTTGTACAAGCAGCTGCTAGCAGCCTCACAATCACGAGCGCTGATCCTCATGGGGGACTTCAATTACCCAGACATCTGCTGGGTAAGCAACTCGGCCAGGCACAAGCAGTCCAAACGGTTCCTACAATGCATTGAGGACAATTTTCTGACGCAGGTGGTGGAGGAGCCAACGAGGCATGGGGTGCTCCTGGACCTTGTTCTTACCAACAGGGATGGCCTTGTTAGGGATGTGAAGGTTGGGGGCAGCTTGGGATGCAGCGCCCATGAGATGGTGGAGTTCCAGATGGAACTAGGCAAAGGAAGTAAGGCTAAAAGTAGGATTGCTACCCTGGACTTCCAAAGAGCCAACTTCAACCTCTTCAGGGACCTGCTTGGGAGTATCTCATGGGATAGGCTGCTAGAAGGCAAGGGTGGTTGTGAGAGCTGGGCTACATTTAAGCAGCACTTCTTCCACACTCAGGGTCGGTGCATCCCAAGGAATAGGAAATCGGGGAAGGGGGGCAGGAAACCTGCATGGATGAGCAAGGAGCTCATCAATAAGATCAAAAGGAAGAGGATAGTCTATGAAATGTGGAAAAAGGGCCTGTCCTCTTGGGAGGAGTATAGATGTGTTGTCAGGGCCTGCAGGGATGCAATGAGGAAGGCTAAAGCCCACCTAGAGACGAGGCTTACAAAAGAGATAAAGGATAATAAGAAGGGTTTTTTCAAGTATGTAAACAGCAAGAGGAAAACTAGGGATAATGTGGGTCCCCTACCGAATGAGGGGGGTGTCCTGGTCACAGGAGACACTGAGAAGGCAGAGATACTGAATGCTTTCTTTGCTTCAGTCTTTTCTTCAAGGACACTCCCCCGGGACTCCTCACCCCTGGCAATAGGACAAAGGGTCTGGGAAATGGAGGGCTCCCCCCTGGTGGACGTGGGAGTGGTTCGGGAGCGTCTGAGTGGGCTCAACGCACACAAATCCATGGGTCCCAATGGGATGCATCTGCGTGTGCTAAGGGAGCTGGCAGATGTGATCACCAAACTGCTCTCTATCATCTTTGAAAGGTCCTGGAGAACGGGTGAGGTGCCTGAAGACTGGAGGATAGCCAATGTCACTCCGGTCTTCAAGAAGGGCAAGAAGGAGGATCTGGGAAACTACAGGCCAGTCAGTCTCACCTTTGTCAATGGAAAGATGTTGGAACAGCTTGTTCTGGATGGCATCTCCAAGCAATTGGAAGAGAAGAAGGTTATGAGGAGTAGTCAGCATGGATTCACCAAGGGGAAGTCATGCTCGACCAATCTCGTTGCCTTCTATGATGGCATCACCAGCTGGGTAGATGGGGGGGAGAGCTGTGGATGGCATCTACCTTGACTTTAGCAAGGCTTTTGATACTGTCTCCCACAACATCCTACTAGCAAAGCTGAGAAAGTGTGGGACAGATGAATGGACAGCAAGGTGGGTTGAGAACTGGCTGACTGGCCGAGCTCAGAGGGTGGTTATTGGTGGCACAGAGTCTGGCTGGAGACCTGTGACTAGCAGTGTTCCCCAGGGGTCAGTGCTGGGTCCGGTCTTGTTCCAACATCTTCATCTATGACCTTGATGAGGGAATAGTGTCTGCCCTCAGCAAGTACACCAATGACACAAAGCTGGGAGGAGTGGCTGACACGCCAGAAGGCTGTGCTGCCATTCATTGAGACCTGGACCAGCTGGAGAGATGGGCAGGAAGAAACCAAATGAGATTTAATAAGAGCAAGCGTAGAGTCCTGCACCTGGGAAGGAACAACCCAAAGTATCAGTACAGGCTGGGGGATGACCTGCTGGAGATGAGCTCTACAGAGAAGGACCTGGGGGTCCTGGTGGACAACAGGTTGACCATGAGCCAGCAGTGTGCCCTTGTGGCCAAGAGGGCCAATGGGATCCTGGCGTGCATTAAAAGGAGTGTGGCCAGCAGGTGATCCTCCAAGGGAGGTGATCCTCCCCCTCTACTCTGCCCTGGTCACGCCTCACCTGGAGTACTGTGTCCAGTTCTGGGCTCTCCAGTACAAGAAAGACAGGGATCTCCTGGAAAGAGTCCAGTGGAGGGCCACAAAGATGATACGGGGCCTGGAGCATCTTCCCTATGAGGAAAGGCTGAGAGACCTGGTTCTGTTCAGCCTGGAGAAGACTGAGAGGGGATGTCCTCAATGTATATAAATATCTGAGGGGTGGAGGACAGAAGGATGTAGCCAACCTCTTCTCAGTGGTTTGTGGGGATGGGACAAGGGGCAATGGCTGCAAGTTAGAGCACAGGAAGTTCTGCACTGACATGCGAAAGAACTTCACAGTGAGGGTGATGGAGCATTGGAACAGGCTGCCCAGGGAGGTTGTGGAGTCTCCTTCTCTGGAGATATTCAAGGCCTGTCTGGATGCCTACCTGGGCAGGCTGCTCTGAGGAACCTTCTTTAGCAGGGGGGTTGGATCCAATGATCTTTCGAGGTCCCTTTCAACCTCTACAGTTCTGTGATTCTGTGACTCTCTTCCTTAGCCCCCCCTGCTTCCTCTCAGTAATTATATGAAAGACAGTAGCCATGTTTTGGCAAGTAGAGCATTACGATCAATCGAGCCACTAAAGTTCCTGCACTGCCCTCCTTTCATCTGCCATAAATGGAGTATCCACCTCCTCCCATTGCAATGCAGTAGGTATCTGTGGAAAGAGAGCACAGCAACTACCCCAAACATTTCCGACTGAGCTCAACACTTCTCTCAAGGCTCTCGGCCAAGCAACTGGAAGAAACACCTGCCATCGAGTACAAAATGTGTTTTATTATTCAGCATAACCAATACATCACAGAAAGCAAAAACATGACAACTCTGTATCAAAAGGATATACAGTATATCTAATTATATTTGTTATAGTACCATACCTGCAAAAAATATTAATTCATGTATCTGATCTTCTATAAATTCTGTCAGTGCTCCAAGTGAAAAAAAATGTCTAGTTAACAACATATGAAAGAGAATGTGAACTAAGACTCCTTCTGATGCCCTCAAAGGCACCTCTCTCAAAAAGTTCCTTTTTAATTTTTTATTTTTTTTATTTTTTTATGAATTTTGCATCGTTCCTTGAATTACGTGTCGAATCTTCTCTGCATCTTTTTCTATAGTTTTATTTTTAGGATCAATCTTGAGAGCTGCTTCATAATCCTGGAGACCTAATATGGACACATTTATAAGAATGTCAGTCATTAACGCAAGAGTGTTTTCCTCTTTAGCAACTAACTGGAAGTAACTGTTCCCAGTCACCTGCGTGAAGTATTGCTCTTGAGTTTTGCTGTTGAGCAAGATAGATCAGAACGACAATAGGATTTACTTTTGTCGGTAAATCAAATTTATATCTTGCTTATATTATTTTAAAAAACATTTTAGTGGAAACATTACTAGTATATATTTTCAGATAACAAAATATGGAAACAGAGCCGCTCATTCATTCATACATGCATATACATATATCAACTATCTGCTTTCTTTCGTGTAAAGACTTTCTGTAGTTTAGGGCTCCTACCCACAGACAGTCTTGCAGTTGTTGAAAACATGCCATTCAGTTAATAAATAGACAAATGAGCACTTCAGTCCAATCTACATCAGAATCAGTCTAAATTAAAAAATAAGCATACCGCATAGAGGAATTACAGAGGAGGGGAGTGTTCAAAAGTATTCTGCAGAAGACAGAAAAACTGAATGACAGAACAAATGTGCATGAAAACAAGAAA